TTGAGTGCGGAGTGCGGTCGGGTTTGGAGTGCAAGTGAGTGGTGCAGAGTTGGGGAACTTTGCATATTTTGGGTTGGGCAAGTGGTACTGCGATAGGATTTTTTGGAATTTTGTTTTTTAGGGAAAGTGAAGGATTTGGTCAGGGTTTTGAAGAAAAATTGGGAATTTTAGTTAGAGAAAGGTTTGGTTTGAGGAGCAGTCAGTCGCAAAAATGTGAGTGCGGAATGCGGTCGGGTTTGGAGTGCAAGTGAGTGCTTTAATTTTTGCATATTTTGGGTTGAATTCATGGTACTGTGATAGGAATTTTGTTTTTTGGGGAAAGTGATGGAATTGGGATAGGATTTGACACGAAGCTAGGAGTTTTTAAACTTTTCCGCATGCGAGGGGGCCGCAGGCCCCCGAGCCTTCCAGTAAAGTCTTCACAGCATTCAGTATGAGACATGGCACCGCATGCGAGGGGCCGCAGGCCCCGAGCCTTTTCAAAAAATCTCAAAAAGTATCATAATCTTTAGAGAAAATTCAAAAGCAAGAGTAAAAGAACAAGTAAAGGTTCCAGAAATTTGGGGGGCCCGAAGGGACCCCCTAATTTCTGGTCCCCTTTATTAATGCAAAAGAATGGCGCATTATTTGTCTGTCCGCGCTCAAGTGAAGCCAAAGAATTCTCATTTTGAAAAATTCGAGGCAAAAAATCGGTCTCGATCGTGGGAAAGTGGGAATAATTCAAAATCATTTTCAAAGTTTTGGTTTGCGGAGCAGTCAGTCGCAAAAGTGTGAGTGCGGAGAGCGGTTGGGTTCGAGTTCAGATGAGTGGTGCAGAGTTGGGGAACTTTGCATATTTTGGATTGGGTAAGTGGTACGACGATAGAAATTTTAGGAATTTTGTTTTTTAGGGAAAGTGAAGGATTTGGGTTAGGGTTTTGATGAGAAGTTGAGAATTTTAGGAACTTTTTCACATGCGATGGGGCCGTAGGGTTTCAATTGAAACTGTATGGATTCATTGTGAGTGTAGCTGCTTGAATCAGGCATGGAACCGCATGCGAGGGGCCTAATTCCAGTACTCAATCTCACGATGAATGCTACAGTTTCAATTTAAAGGCTCTCGCGTGTGAAAAAGTTTTCAAACTCCTAATTTTTTTTCAAAAGCTATCCCAAGCCCTTCACTTTCACTAAAAACCATGATTGCTACAATTTTAAGAAAGGCTTGGGGTTTGCGGGGTGCCGTCGGTTCCGTGTGCAAGTTAGTGGTGCAGAGTGGGGTACCTTTGCATATCTGCTAAAATTTTAAGAAAGGCTCGGGGCTTGCGGAGATGAATTTGGGTTAGGGTTTTGATAAAACTCGGAAATTTTAGTGAGAGAAACTTTTGGTTTGAGGAGCAGTCAGTCGCAAAAATGTGAGTGCGGAATGCGGTCGGGCTTGGAGTGCAAGTGAGTGGTGCAGAGTTGGGTACCTTTGCATATGTTGGGTTGAGTACATGGTACTGTGAGGAATTTTTAGGAATTTTGTTTGGAATTTTAGGAATTTTGTTTTTTAGGGAAAGTGATGAATTTCGGATAGGTTTTGACATAAAGTTAGGAGTTTGGAAACCTTTTCACATGCGAGGGGGCCGCAGGCCCCCGAGCCTTTCAGTTGAAACTGTATGGACACATTGTGAGCCTGAGTACTTGAATCAGGCATGGCACCGCGTGCGAGGGGCCGCAGGCCCCGAGCCTTTGGAAAAATTTTTAAAAAATCAAAAGCTTTTGAGAAAATTCAAAAAGCAAGAGTAAAAGATCAAGTAAAAGTACCAGAAATAGGGGGGCCCGAAGGGACCCCCTAATTTCTGGTCCCCTTTCTGAATGTGAAAAAACATTTTTCTGTCTGTCTGTCTTTCTGTCTGTCTGTCATTCCGAAGCCAAACAATTCTCATTTTGAAAAATTCAAAGGAAAAATTCGGTCGTAATCGTGGGAAAATGGGAGTTTTTTGGGAAATTCAAAAATCATTTTCAAAGTTTTGGTTTGCGGAGCAGTCAGTCAGAAAAGTGTGAGTGCGGAGTGCGGTTGGGTTCCAGTTCAGGTGAGTGGTGCAGAGTTGGGGAACTTTGCATATTTTGAATTGGGTAAGTGGTACTGCGATAGGATTTTTTGGAATTTTGTTTTTTAGGGAAAGTGATGAATTTGGGTTAGGGTTTTGATGAAACCTCGGGAATTTTAGTGAGAGAAAGTTTTGGTTTGAGGAGCCGTCAGTCGCAAAAATGTGAGTGCGGAATGTGGTCGGGTTTGGAGTGCAAGTAAGTGGTGCAGAGTGGGGTATCATTGCATATTTTGGGTTGAGTACGTGGTACTGTGATAGGAACTTTGTTTTTAGGGGAAAGTGATGGATTTAGGATAGGATTTGACACGACGTTGGGAAACCTTTTCACATGCGAGGGGGCCGCGGCCCCCCGAGCCTTCCAGTCAAGTCTTCACAGCATTCAGTATGAGACGTGGTACCGCATGCGAGGGGCCGCAGGCCCCGAGCCTTTGGAAAAATTTCAAAAGCTTTTGAGAAAATTCAAAAAGCAAGAGTAAAAGAATAAGTAAAAGTTCCAGAAATAGGGGGGCCCGAAGGGACCCCCTAATCCCCTTTATTAAAGCAAAAGAATTATTCTGTCTGTTTTTTTGTCCGTGAAGCCAATCTATTCTCATTTTGAAAAATTCGAGGCAAAAAATCGGTCTCGATTGTGGGAATTTTTGAAAAAATTAAAAATCATTTTCAAAGTTTTGGTTTGCGGGGCAGTCAGTCTCAAAAATGTGAGTGCGGGGTGCGGTCGGGTACGAGTGCAGGTGAGTGGTGCGGAGTAGGGTAATTTAGCATATTTTGGGTTCAGTACATGGTACTGTGATAGAAATTGTAGGAATTTTGTATTTTAGAGAAAGTGATGAATTTGGGTTAGGGTTTTGATGAAAAGTTAGGAGGTTTAGAAGCTTTTCCGCGTGCGAGGGGGCCGCAGGCCCCCGAGCCTTTTAGATAAAAGTTTAGAGCTTGAGTACTGGAATCAGGCATGATACTGCATAAGGATTTTTTGGAATTTTGTTTTTTATGGAGAGTGATGAATTTGGGTTAGGGTTTTGATGAAAAGTTAAGAATTTGTGGAATTTTTCCGCATGCGAGGGGGCCGCAGGCCCCCGAGCCTTCCAGTCAAGTTTTCACAGCATTCAGTATGAGACATGGCACCGCGTGCGAGGGGCCGCAGGCCCCGAGCCTTTGGAAAAAGTTCAAAAAAATCAAAAGCTTTTGAGCAAATTCAAAAAGCAAGAGTAAAAGAACAAGTAAAAGTTCCAGAAATAGGGGGGCCCGAAGGGACCCCCTAATTTCTGGTTTTCCCCTTTCTTAATGCAAAAGAATGTCGCATTATCTGTCTGTCCGCGCGCAAGTGAAGCCAAAGAATTCTCATTTTGAAAAATTCGAGGCAAAAAATCGGTCTCGATTGTGGGAAAATTGGAATTTTTGAAAATCATTTTCAAAGTTTTGGTTTGTGAAGCAGTCAGTCGCTAAAATGTGAGTGCGCGGTGCGGTCGGGTTCGAGTGCAAGTGAGTGGTGCAGAGTTGGGGAACTTTGCATATTTTGGATTGGGTAAGTGGTACTGCGATAGGATTTTTTGGAATTTTGTTTTTTAGGGAAAGTGATGAATTTGGATTAGGGTTTGATGAAAAGTCTGGACTTTAACAAGCGGTCAGTAAAATGCAAGTGCGGGGTCCGGTCGGTTTCGAGTGCAGGTGAGTGGCGCACAGTGTGGTACTTTTGTATATTTTGGGTTGACCACGTGGTACTGTGACAGGAATTTTTGGAATTTTGTTTTGTATGGAAAGTGATGAATTTGGGTTAGGGTTTTGAAGAAAACTCGGAAAGTGAGACAAAGTTTTGGTTTGAGGAGCAGTCAGTCGCAAAAATGGGAGTGCGGAGTGCGGTCGGGTTCGAGTGCAGGTGAGTGATGCAAAGTGTGGTACCTTTGCATATTTTGGGTTAAGTACGTGGTACTGTGATAGAAACATGGCACCACATGCGAGGGGCCGCAGGCCCCGAGCCTTTTGTGAAATTACAAAACAAAATAAAAAGCAAGAGTAAAAGATCAAGTAAAAGTACCAGAAATAGGGGGGCCCGAAGGGACCCCCTAATTTCTGGTTCTCGCATATATTTTAGAGCAAATTACTCTAAATCTGTACCAAATTTCATCAAAATCTGAGCGTCGCACTTGGGGTACTTCCCCTGTTAGAAGGGGAAAAATGGCGCGGATTTCGAAAATCGTATTAATTTTTTCTGAATTTTACAATTTTGCTTAAGTGTTAAGTAGTATTTTTTAAATTTTTTCGTTGAATAGTGGATTCAGGGGTTTTCTATGGCGCTGATTTCAAAAATCTTATCCATTTCTTCTGAATTTTTGCCTTAATCTTCAATTCTTCAAAATAAATGTTTTAATTGGTAAAAGCTTGGTCAAACTTGTATGATCTTGTGATAAAACTTCTGACGCTCTTTTGTCCTTAAAACCAAACATTAAAATCGTAAAGTTCAGAAAAACATGGATACGATTTTCGCAATCAGCACCATCGAAAAAATATCAATCAATAAAGTGCTCTCCAATTGGGATTTATTGTTGTGTTGTTGTGCGAGAAAACAGAAAAATACGCAAATAAAAAGTAAAGGACTCTGTTCCAAACGTATTTGAAAGTTGTTTTCCTTCAATTTTCCTTGTTTTTCGTGCAATAATTTTCAGCGATTTTCTCAAGGGACGTATTCCAAGTGCGACACACAGATTTTATTTAAATTTTGCGCTCATTTTGAACAAAGGCCATGCCTCAATGCCTGAAAATTTTAGCTCGCGGTTTGGTTGTTTCTGCAAAGCGCGGGCTAGAAATTTCGCATACCTGTCAGAAAAGTTTGCTCTAAATTTGTGCCAAGTTTCATCAAAATCTGAGCGTCGCATTTTGGGTAATTTCAGTATTTCCTCTGTCGTCTTAAAGTGACATCACCTTGAAGTGACAATGACGACTATAACACTGAGAAATGGAGTGGAAATGCCGATGATTGGACTTGGCACCTTACAGGTAATCGCTCTGACGCAACATTTTTTACGTGACCTAGTAGGTCAAGGTGTTTGCCCAAAAAACCCCGGAAATGTACTCAACGCTTGATTAAGATGGTCAAAAATCCCAAAAAATATCAAACTCACCTAGAAAAAAAGACAAAATTGTTATCAATACATCATTTTTAGTCGAGTCCCGAAGAATGCCTCAACGCGATTCATGCTGCGTTGGACGCCGGCTACACCCTAATTGATACAGCGTCCATTTCCGAAAATGAAGAAGATATCGGGAAAGCCTTGGAAGCGTATTTTGAAACTGGAAAGTTGAGCCGGGAAGATGTGTTTATCATTACGAGAGTGAGCTTGGACAAAAAATTGTATTATCGGTTTGTCGGAAAAATAACGTGGATTTGTCGCAAAAAATGCCTGCCTCGTCGCAAATTTACAGCGGCGGCTAGAAAGTGATGTCGAGCAATTCAAAGGCGAATCCACATTATTTCCCCGACAGACGAATACTTTCGAAACCTCGCCGTTTGGTAGCTGTATATTTCCCATATTTTAGTTTTGGTTCTTACAAGTCCGACCCGAAGACGTCGAGAAAACGTTACTGGAGAAGTTGAAGGCGTTGCGAACGGACTACGTTGACTTATATGTGACTCATCAGCCGAAAGAGGCATTGGTAATAGACATGGCTAGTGGGCCGGGCCGGCCCGGCCCGGCCCGGCCCAGCCCCCCGGGGGGCCGGGCTGGGCCGGGCCGACCTCTTCCGGCCCCCGGGCCGGGCCGACCGGGGGCCCCCGCCAGGCCCCCAATCGGCCCCCAATGACTAAAATTCTCAGTCTCAAAGCGAAAATTAGGGTTGCCAATAAAAATAAAACGCAGAGCCAAGAACCGATTGGGTTTTTTGAAGTACTTTAGGCAATGGTTGGTAATTTTTTGTGTCAAAATTTATTGTCGATTGGTATAACAAAAAAATGGGGACTAGGGTAGTACAACCCGCCAGCTCAGTTCAGCCCCCCCTGGACCCAGTATAAACCCCCTCATCCAATCTGAAGCGCCTACTCGGGATTGGGTTCTCTCGGCTACGATCATCGTTGCCTGAACCACAAGAACGAATTTGGACGGTAACTGGGGCTTTGAACTAAAACGCCTGGGGTCATTTTACTCTAATTTGCATTTTTTGTATAATTCCAATTTTTTAATTACGGGGTGTGAAATGGACAAAACAGTGGGGGTTTGAACTACCTTTCGTAGGGAGCTGAACTACCAAAGCCCCAAAAAAATGTGTTATATCTCGCAATGAATGCAGTATTTATATTTACAGTTCGGCCCCCTGTCGGCCCCCGGCCCGGCCCGGCCCCCTGGGGGCCGGGGCCGGGCCGGGCCGAGAAAATTTGAAGGGGGCCGGGGCCGGGCCGAACCCTTCCGGCCCCCGGGCCGGGCCGCGATTTTCGGCCCGGCCCGGCCCCCCAGCCATGTCTAATTGGTAAGTGGACGATGTTACTCTATGTAAAGGTGGTCATATAAGATCTCGGAATTTTTTTTCTCCCAAATCGCGATTTTCGGTGCACAAAAAAGTCGACGCCCAAATCGAAAAATTGGCGTCGACTTAAAACCCCGATTTTCAACTCGGCACCCTATTTCAAATCTTATAAAGTGTGCACCAAATTCAGGAATTCGGTGTTGATTTTATATTCCTGCTCAAGAAGAATTTTTTTGGTTTTCGCCAATCTTCAAGGTATATTTTATGAATGAAGACAAGATGGAATTTGTTCAAAAAGGGAATTTTTACCAACAGCAGGCTGCCCCGTTCGATTTGATGTCTAGATTTCCCGTTTTCTGCTCGAATAAAGCACCAAATTTTGGAATTTTGTGATGTTTGTTGTACCATGGATAATGTAAGTCGATTTTCCTATTTTTTTGTGTTCTTTGAAAACCAAATTACAGCAAAAGGTAGAATAGGCTTTTAGCTTTATTGTAATATACAGGGTGCGGCAAAAAAATGGAAACTTTTTTCATTGGGTCCTGACGCGAAAATTTTTAAGTGCAGCAAAATTATTTTCATACCATTAAATTCTACGTAGTTTTCTCTCCTTGACCTTATAATTTCATGTCCATATCGGTTTACTAACATTCTTTTTTTGAATGACAAACAGAGGGACCTCGATTTCGGACCTGTTTTTTTACCTGTGCGAACTGTTAATTTTCCCGGCATAGAAAGCACGTTGTGTCCAAAGTAATCACACAATGCAAGGAGCTTTTCGACAATTTTAAGCGTCCAGTAAGCGAAAGAAAACGCATCGCCAACACTTCTGCCAGCCGCGGAGTCATCAACAGCGAAATCCGTCGATTTCCAGAAAAAATTGCCCGTGAGACCGGCATCAGCGACCGACCAGTCGGCCAAATAGCTAAAAATCAACTCAAGGTCTCCCCACGCAAGGTCTAAAATGCCCAACTCCTAATCGGCAAGATCAAGCCCGTACACCTAAAAAAATGCCGAAAATTCAGACGTCGGGCCGCAGGTCCGCGATGGGAGCGCATTCCCTTCGCGGTGCAACCTTTGGCGGGTGCACAACCAAAAGAACGTCATAGTCCAATCCGATGAGGCCCTCTGCACGTCGGCTAACGACGAACACCGTCAAAATAAGGGCCGTCATCGCCTAAGGCGGAATTTGTGCCAGCGGCAAGAATTCCGAGATTTTCGTGGATCAAGCGGGCAAAATTCTAGCGCCGCGTTAACTTCGATTTCCTCATGCTTCTGTTGGCTCAGTAGAACCTTGGCAGCGCAAATTTGGCGTTCCAACTAGACTCAGCGCCGACTCACAGGGCAACAGCCAGTCAAGACCGATTTTGAGACCGATTTTCCCGATTTCACCCCGTCTGTAAAAAGAGCGCCTGCTCGCCGGGTATAGATCCAATGGACTGTAATTTTTTTTCAATTGGAGGCTATCATCTGTACTACACGCCACAAAAGTTTGGAGTTGCAAAGTAATCGCTGCGTCAAGGACGGGACGGATTTCCCTGAAAAAAGCTGCGGCCAAAAGGCCAAAATTTTAAGTCACGTTTGGAGCTCTATATCGCCACCAAAAGCAGCCACGGTAAAACGGGTTGAATATGTTATAAACAATGCTCTATGTTATTGAGGATGACCGTTACTTTTGCGGAATTTGGATTGCCAGGAAAAATATAGCTATAAAAATAAGTTTCCATTTTTTTGCCGCACCCTGTAAATTTCGAACCAGAAACATCGAGTTTCACCAAATTTTTATATTGTACTTGCTTCACGTTTTTGGCTATCTGCTATTCCATAAAATTAGTCCTATTTTCACGGTATAATTAATCTAGTGGCCAGTCCTAAACCTATATCTGTCCATTTTTTGGCGAGTTTGCACAAAAAAATAGGAAAATCAACTTACATTATCCATGGTACAACAACCGTCACAAAATACCAAAATTTGGTGCTTTATCCGAGCATAAAACGGGAAATCTAGACATCAAATCGAACGGGGCATCCTGCTATTGGTAAAAATTCCCTTTTCGGACAAATTCCACCTTGTCTTCATTCATAAAATATATCTTGAATATCGGCGAAAACGTAAAAAAATTCTTCTCGAGCAGGAATATAAAATGGGTCAACTGTTCCCCAAAAAGTCTGCACCGAAGGCTTAAGTCAACACCGAATTCCGGAATTTGGTACACACTTTAAAAAGTTTTGGAATTGGGTGCCGAGTTAAAAATCGGGGTCTTAAGTCGACGCCAATTTTTCGATTTGGGCGTCGACTTTTTTGTGCACCGAAAATCGCGATTTGGGGAGAAAAAAATTCCGAGATCTTATATGACCACCTTTCCATTCTACAAAGCATTTGTGCTTTATTTTGCTGGTTTAGCATTAAAAATTTTTTACTTATCTACCTTCCGGGCCGGGCCGGGCCGAAAGTGCCGGGCCGGGCCGAAAAGTGTCGAAAGTGTCGGCCCGGCCCGCGGGCCGAAGCGGTCAGGCCGGCCCAAGGATTTTTTACAGATTTGAAAAAGCCCTGGGCCGGCCCGATTGCCACCTCTACACCGGATCGTTGAATATCTCGTGTGAAAGAGATGACCAAAATGTTCTTTCCTCCTCTGACCGCTCTCCGCCTTTTGCGCATTCTCTCGGCCACAAAGCTCCTGGAATATCTCGGCTGTGCGTGCAAAGTGCGAGCTAAAATTTCCGAGGCTTTACATTTGGCGAGCGTTTGTTGTGTAGAAGTTTGCTGTGCAGAGGTGCACTGTATTTTCCTTCTAAGTTATTTATCTTCCCGATTCCAGGAAGCGGAATACAACGAAACCGACTTCGAGCACACCTGGAAGGCCATGGAAGAGGTCTACCAAAAAGGTTTGGCCAAGTCCATTGGGGGCTCGAATTTATGTCGTTCCCAAATTGAAGAGATTCAGGACATCGCTGATTTCTCACTTGACATTCTTCAAGTGGATGAGGAATGGTTCTACGAAGCGCCCCATGTGGTCGATCTTTGCGTACAACTAGGAACCCCCGTAACTACGTATATCCTTCATGAATCGCCGGAAATGATGAAAGTGGTGGCCCATAGAGGCAGGGGATTTTTTAATTCGAATTGAACAAATTTTAAAATATTACACCATAGTTCTTACTAGGGTGTCCCATAAGTCTTGCAAATTTTTGGGTTTAAGAATGAACCTCTCATTTCGGGGGCCTAGGGAACCGTACTCCTTAATGTTTGGTACTGTTAGAACCACCATCCTTTACACTTGTTAACAGCCTGCAAATTATTTACGATCGTAAACTTTCAACATTCATTGGCCATCCAGATAACAATAAAAAAAATTCTTTTATTACTTATTTTTTTTCTGACAATAAAATGTTTATTAATCACTCTTAAATGTAACTGTTAGCATGATACGTTTAGATCTTAAATTTAGAAATAAAACTTATTAAAGTAATTAAAAACTTCACTTTTAATTGTCGCACAGTATACAGGGTCTTACAAAAAACGTGAAGGAAAGTGGAAGGCTATAACTTCGGGCGGCTCAGAGACTTCGTACATCTCATTTTGAACAACCTGAGTAGAGGCATCCCTACTTCAAAAACCAGTGTTTTTCGTTGAAAATGACCGAGAAATTTCGAAGCTTTTCGGTTGAAAATGATCGAGAAATTTCGGACTTTTTCGGTTGAAAATCACCAGGAAATGTCGGATTTTCGGGGGTTTCTTGATATAGTTTTTAAGAAAACGTCGAAAAGATAGACTTTGAAATTGAAAAATTCAACATCACACATATCGAAATCCCCCAAAAAATCTGACATTTCCCGGTGATTTTCAACCGAAAAAGTTCGAAATTTCTCGGTCATTTTCAACCGAAAAACACTGGTTTTCGGGGTAGGAATACCCCTACTACAGAAGGTCGTAGCGAAAAATCTTTTATTTTTGTAGACAAAAACTAATGTCGCTTAAGGATACGTATTCCAAAATTGCTTTTCGCTACAGTGACGCACCGACATTGTGATCATTATTTTCCCGACAAATGACATAAATACTACATATTTATTCAGCAAAAACAATTATGGTATATGGTATGTTTTGCTACGTTCAATGCAATCTCCCAAGAGCACCACCAATCACAACAAACGGGATAAGAATCACAATGATATGCAAGAACGACAGCCAAACTGTGTTGTAGATGTCAATAGTGTTGTCACAGACCTCCGTCCGCAGATCCACAACAATGCGTTTGAGCTCGCCGCAATTCCCAGCGCGCTTTTCGACAGTGGCGATAAACGTATCTGCAAACTCCATGGTGTAGTGTTTGGCGTCGTCCAAGAGCTTGTCGACCGACGGCTTCACGAGCTCCATGAGTTCGGCCGGAGTCAGTGAGTCGAGGAAGTCTTGGACCTCTTCTTCGGTTGGAAGAATTGACGGTAGCTCCTTCCGGAACGCTACGATCCATCTGATAGTTCTGAAGTGTTTACGATGCTCCCGAGGCGCGAACGACTCTAGATTTTGAAGCTGAACGATAGGATTACGTAAGATATGGCAATTGGAAATACATGTAGTTTCTGCGATGCGACAGAGTGCGCACTGAACGCCTACCGGAAGTTCGAAAAACCCCAAGTTCGACAACCAAAAGTTCGAATGCCGCAAGTTCGAATGCCGCAAGTTCGAATACTGGAAGTTCGAAAAACCTCAAATAAGAAAAACTAAAAGATCGAAAACCGGAAGTTCGAAATATGAAAATATAAAAAATGCATTCGAACTGGCGGCATTCGAACTTTTGGTTTTCGAACTTGGGGTTTTTCGAACTTGCGGTAGGCGTTCCCGACAAAGGAGACCCACCGCAAGTTCGAATCCGCAAGTTCGAATGCCTAAAGTTCGAATGATTAAAGTTCGAACGACCTCCAGTTCGAACTACCTAATGTTCGAATGACCGTAACTTTGAATAACCTAAAGTTCGAATGACTAAAGTTCGAAAATGAAAAAAAAGTTAATTAATATTTAAATTATAATTTGCATATAATTATTTTGCAAAATACACTTCCTCTTCAATCATTCATTCATCCTGTACGATGGAGGTTGGTTGTCCTAACACTTTGACCGACAACGAACGCGCTGTTCTTCTCGACCTGATCAAGATTCGTCATGGCGCCAATCCAACTGTGTCTTTCTCGGGATTCGTGGCTTTGTGTGGTGGATTTTGCTTTCTTCATAACAACTGGAGGCCGTTCGAACTTTAGTCATTCGAACTTTAGGCATTCGAACTTGCGGATTCGAACTTGCGGTGTGTCTCCGTGCGCACTATTTTCCCGACAGACGGATAACCAAACTTGTCTTACCTGCTCTTCCGGGATCGGACTCGCTGCCATCGCTCTCATGTCTTTCAGTATCTCGAAATACGACTGATTGTAGACAGCGTTTTTCGGCCAGCTATCCAATATTGTTTTGTTCAGTTCATCCAAATAAGATGCAAGAGGACCGCCCGATTGACCCTCCTGGCCTGCTCTAAGAAGGTCAGACACTTCGCCCAGCTTCAAAATTTGCAGCAGACTTGTCTCATTTGCGCATTCGTTTACAATTTTCGATACCGGATATTCGAGTTTGGCGAGAATCCCTTCCACCGCCTCATCCGCCGAGTTGGAGGCGTCTTTCAACGCTCTTGCCGCCAGAGAGTCCAAAACGGAGAGAACATCCGAGCGCTTTTCCGGGTTCTTCCATGGATCGCACACCAGATCCGTCGCAACCCCGAGTGGAGCGAACAAAGCTGCAGTAAGAAGGGGAACAGTGATTAAGAGCAGCAGAACAGCGCCAATCGAGCTGAAAACAATACGCAATACGCATGAAACAGGGTGCTCATCATTTTTCCGACAAACTGATAACACCATGAACGCATCAAACTTACAAATTATAAAGCGATTTGGGTCCAAAACACTTGCTTCCTTCATGGTCTGCACTCCGATTAGTCACAATACAGCTGTATCCGATCCCAGCAAAGCTGATAAAGGCGACAGCCAACAAAACAGCGGCAGTTGCCAATACCGCGTAGTAGCTGAAGACGTGCCGCTTAGGTTCGTTTATTCCAAAACTTACGGGTAGACAATGTGCGGCTTGACTTGCTGTTCATACCCATTCCTAAGTTCCTTGAGAGGCTGTGTTAATTGGTCAGCCTCACCGCAAACACCACTCAGTTGATTCTTCAGTTTTTCGTCGATTTTTGTTTGGATTTGAGGAGCTATTTCTGAAAAAAGAACCCGTAAATGAGCCTCGTTGAGGCCAGGAGCATACCATTCAATCGCCTGTCGCCTACTGCAACAATATTTTCAAACATTGTGTCCACTTTTTGCTTGTATGTATCCCGCGGCGTTACCTCTCGAAACTCGCGCATTTTCTCAAGATATGGCACCAGAGGTTGGATGGTGTCCTGGAAAACAAGTACACTTCAAAAATGACTGTAAAGTAACATACGGCAAGTCCAGGATTCTGGGTTCGAAGGATTGGCAAAAGGGCCAAGAGCTCGCCAATGTCTTTTTGTCGGGTTCTAATTTTTGAAACGGCTGAAATGGCCTACAATTAGCTTTAGTGCATTCAAACAGGATATCAGTCCGTCGGGACGAATCTACATTATTTTCCCGACATGCAGATGCAAGATTAAGTCGTCTTTTATTGCACAATTTTCCGCCGGATTCCACAGAACTTACTCATGTGGATCTTTTCGATTACAGGCACATGTTTCACGGCAAGCTTGTGTTTCATATCCGCCACAGCTTCGTGAAAACTCTTGGAGATTCTCGGCATGACCGACGTTACATTTGTCTCGACGCCTATCATGTTTTTCAGGGCCTAAAGATGGATTGAATAAGGTTGCACGAAAAATAAACCCTTACTGCGCAATTATCTTGGACGTAATGGTCGGTTTCGTTCGCAAAACTTTCAACGACATTGCCCATTCTGTTCGCGGAGCTTGTCGCTTTAATAATTCCATAAGCTGCAATTGCAGCAAAGGCAATAACAAACACAGCGAGTAGTAGTAACAGAGCGTTGAGGACATTCTTCAATCCGATCTTCCGCTTTGGCTTCGAGTCCGAGGTGAGACAAGAAGCGATGCATCTATAAACCAAGTAAACCAAGACGAAGAGTAGGGGCAGAATGACAATGATGGCGACGGCTGTCGCCCATGGAGCGAGATAGGGCTTCCACTGAAAAGTGAGCGGTAACTCATGCCAAGCATGGCTAACTAGGAGTACGACCAGGCCCAAATTGCAGACCCCGATGAGGGATGTAATCACACGCGCCATAGAGTTTGTGGATTTTTTTAAAAATATTAGGTTGTAAAAAAAGTTCCGAAACTTTGCCTCATCCACCATACTCGCCGGACATCTCCCCAACCGACTACCACTTTTTCAAGCATCTCGACAACTTCCTACATGAGAAATGCTTCCAGAGCCGAGATGATGCCGAAACGGCCTTCAACGACTTTATCGCCTCCAGAAGCCCGGAATTTTACGCTACCGGCATAAATAAACTTGTTTCTCGTTGGCAAAAGTGTATTGATTCTAATGGTTTTTATTTTGATTAATAAACTTTTTTCTGAGCTGAGTTATGCTTGTTTAAAGTTAAGGGTTGAAAACCGCAAGAACTTTTTTTACAACCTAATATCATCAGTCCGTCGGGAAAATAATGTGGATTCGTCGCGACTTGAAATTACCCATTATGTGGCGGCTAACCACGGCTGAAGATTTGGTATGCGACAGTGAGAAGCGAGACATTTTGCAGGCACCAATCCGCACTATTTCCCGACAGACTGATAATTCTACAGGGTGTTTCAAGAAATATGGCAGAAACTAATCGCGAATATCTTTGAGCTCTTGGGAGTTATCGCAGAAATTCTTTTTGTTCCTAAAACTTGATATCGGGCGGTTTTGTACTGAGCAAAAAAAAATTTTTTTCGTCGGCGGAGGGGCCAGTTCTCGGCGGAGACATTTGGGGCCTTTTTTAAAAATCACACCTTATTACACGGTGGAAACTCTGTTACAATGGCCAAAATCATGTTTACGTTAAACCTCCGTGGATTTTACGGTATGCTTTTTTTCGTTTTCGATTTTACGCAACATTCGCGGAGGCGCGGCGGAGACCTCAGATTTCGGCGGACTTTGTTTTGGGCCCTCGGTTTTTGCAAATCCATGTTGGAAAAAAGGTTGGGGCGATTTTTTGTTGTCATCCAATGCACAGATGGCAAAAATTTTGTACTTTTTTCCCTCGGCGGACGATTCGGCGGAGGCTTTATCAAAGGGTCAAAACAAAAGTTTGACTCTTTTGATAAAGCCTCCGCCGAATCCTCCGCCGATGTGTCCGCCGGACCAAAAAATAACAAAAATGATGTTGCTGTGATGGATTCTTGTAGCTGAGTTTTTTTCCCGGACTCCTAAGACTGTTCTGACCCTTTGATAAAGCCTCCGCCGAATCCTCCGCCGGGGAAAAGAAGTGCGAAATTTTTGCATCTGTGCATCGGATGACAACAAAAAATCACCCCACACTTTTTTCCAACCTGAATTGAATGATCAAAAGACTCAAAACGACGTCCGCCGAAACCTGATTTCTCCGCCGTGCCTCCGCGGATGAGCGAAAAACAAAAACGAAAAAAAGCATACCGTAAAATCCACGGAGGTTTAACGTAAACATGATTTTGGCCATTGTAACAGAGTTTCCACCGTGTAATAAGGTGTGATTTTTAAAAAAGGCCCCAAATGTCTCCGCCGAGAACTGGCCCCTCCGCCGACGAAAAAAAATTTTTTTTGCTCAGTGCAAAACCGCCCGATATCAAGTTTTAGGAACAAAAAGAACTTCTGCGATAACTCCCAAGAGCTCAAAGATATTCGCGATTAGTTTCTGCCATATTTCTTGAAACACCCTGTATAGTTGGAAACTTTGCATGAAAAAATCAGGCCTTCTCCGGTCAGGACGGTTCGGAAACTTACAGTCTCCTCTTCTCCAAAATGTTCCGCTTTCAGCCCAACCGAGGTCTCTTCCGGTAACGGCCTTGGCGCCACAGCTCCAACAATGGCTTCGGCGTATTCACAGAATGGGGAGAGGTTTCCAGCATTGCTCTCAACTAACAAGGGAAGTCACTTAAGTCACGGATCGATTTTTAAAAACGACTGTTACGGCAATACAGAGGGTGGAATGGGGATATCGAATCTGAAAACCGCTACCTCCACCGGCCTCTGGGAGCCGAGATAATCAACCAACAAGTTTGACCACAAAAAAGTTGCCCCGAAAAGCTCTCCTTTTCGAAAAAAGGAAGGCAACGAACCGAATGGTCCGGTGGTCTGGAAGCGCGCTTCCGGGCCTTTGCCTTTTCAGGTTCGAGTCCGCATGGGTTCGAGCTTGTAGATAATTTATCAAACTCTCTGTAACCCAGCAAATTTCCTGGTAAAATAAAATTTTCTATTTTTCCATATTTTGCGATGAAATTTCACCCTGTCTGAATTATAAAGTTAAAATCGACGTAAAATATGGAAAAACTAGAAAATTTATTTTACCAGTAACTCTGGTGGATTACAGCAACAGTTTTGTAAATTTTTTAATATAAGTCCGGACCTATGCGGACTCGAACCTCAAAAGGTCAAGGCCTGGAAGCGCGCTTCCAGACCACCGGACCATTCAAGTCGCTCTCCATTCGCTTTCGGAAGGGAGACCTTTTCGGAGGGAATTTGGCCAAACTTGTTGGGTGATTATCTCGGCTCCCAGAGGCCGGTGGAGGTAGCGGTTTTCAGATTCGATATCACCGTCCCACTCTTTCCATCGCTGTATCAGCCGTTTCGCAAAATCGATCCGTGATTTAAGTGACTTCCCTTGAAAGTCACCATGAACAGAGTCCAGGAGAAATAAGAAAATTATGGGCCACAACCCGAGCATGCTAATAATTTGGCCTCGGGAGAGCGGCCCATAAGAAAAGAAATGAGCATTGCCAACGCTGACTCAAGCCATCAGCATCACTTGAAATCTTGCTTCATCAGCGCTGTGAATCATGCAGTTCGGGGGAAATTTTAATTCTTTGTGATTTGATTGCGAATTTCGGTAGGAAATGTGAATATGAAAAATGAGGTGTCAAAACATTTGATGAGGCATTGGTGAATATGTATGTTTTATTTTGAAAGCTATGCAGAAACAGTTTTTTGAGATGCTTCGATCTTCCGATAAATGACATAATAAATATGTTTTCCCCTGCAACGCACTTAAATTAAACCTAGTTCTACTGCCGGAGGAAACAATGTTGCAAACATGAATGCCAGATTTTTTAAAGGCATTTTGATCTCCTTATGCCTTATGCGAGCTCCTCTGGCCACGAATTTGGCTGAAAATGGACAAGGCAACGATGAGCCGACGCCCAAGGGCGAAGAAACGAAAACCGCCGTAAGGTTGTGACACCACTCGAGAGAGGACTTCTTCGCGAACACAACGATACCACAATCATGCCTTAGCGCCCTCTGGCTTATGAGTTACAAACGTTTTTCCCAAGGTGGAAAGAAAATTTTGTCATTCGGGTGTTTGCGTTTTTTGGAAAAAGGGCATGTGAAGTGCATCAAATGATATGATTTTTTGGGCATGGTGTTAGACTGTCCTAGGATGTTTGTATGCCGAATTTGGAGGTTCTAGGCCCAGCGGTTCCCGAGATACGAGGTGTAAAGAAAATTTTGTCAACCAGTATACAGGGTGTCCAGAGAAATGTGCCGGAAAGTTTTTGTCGGTTTCTTGTCGCTCAATAAAGATATCCGAAAAATTCTTTTTGCAGGATAAAGAAGAATTTGGGCGGTTTTTTGTCCGAAAGAATCATTTTTTCCGCCAGCGCGGAAAGTAGTGTATTCGGCGGAGACTTTTGATCGCTTTTTCGGCCATCACACCAATTTTAAAACAGAGTTTTTTACAAACTGAAGCTTCCCTCCAAGGGGCCCGGACATTGTTGCAACGACCATCACCAAATTTCTTGAAACTAGGCCAGTAGAAGGGCCTGGGAATGCTGATGAAAAGCGAAGAAGGGTTTCGCGAAATTTCATCCATTCCGGGATTACTGTAACATTTTGTATTTTATAAAGTGGCGTTGGTTGTGCGCCGGGTGATGGTTCTATGAGTCCAAAACTTTTTGTGTGACTGTTTTCGACCACGGCCAACATATTCCTAATTCAAATGTTTTTTGTATCTCTTCATCTTTTGGTAGTACCGTAACCCTCAACATACCATATCGATTACTGCCAAAAATTGGGAAAAGTGTAACCAGTTTTTAAGCTTGATTATAAAGGTTGGACACACTCTCCGTAAAATAAGACCAAAAAATCCAAAATAAAAATATAAGTTTTTGAGATATACGCGTTCAAAGTTGCTATGTTCGGTTACTGTAAGACCAAAATGGAGATGATGAATTTTCAAACGGTACCATTGATTGCCGCGCCTCACCCATTAATAGACTAGCCTGAGAAAAATATTTTCAGATCAAAAAATAAATATTTGAGGCTTTATTTCAGGCTTTATACGATGGTTACTGTAGTTTCTAACTTTTGTCAATTTCGCTAACCATTTTTTTCAAATGACGCATTTAGACCAGCTATGCCATTGAGAAATGTGTGTACAACGTAAAAATCAAAAAATCAAGGTTACAGTACTATCAATTCTTGAAATAAAGGGAGATTACGGTAGCCGTATCCGCTTTTTTCGCTGTTTGGCCGCGGCATTCTTTGGAGGTGTTAGTGTAACCAAATTTGAGACCGGAAATATGTTCAGAATATACAGGGGAGTATTTTAGCAAAAAATCCCGAAAATAAAAATATAAGTTTTTGAGAAAATCCGGGATTACGGTCATTTTAGGGGGTTTTTGGGCCGTTTGGCCGCGGCATTCTTTGGAGCTGCTAGTGTAACCAAATTTGAGACTGGAAATATCTTCAGAATATACAGGGGAGTATTTTAGCAAAAAATCCCGAAAATATAAATATAAGTTTTTGAGAAAATCCGGGATTACGGTCATTTTAGGGGTTTTTGGGCCGTTTGGCCGCGGCATTCTTTGGAGCTGCTAGTGTAACCAAATTTGAGACTGGAAATATCTTCAGAATATACAGGGGAGTATTTTAGCAAAAAATCCCGAAAATAAAAATATAAGTTTTTGAGAAAATCCGGGATTACGGTCATTTTAGGGGGTTTTTGGGCCGTTTGGCCGCGGCATTCTGTGGAGATGCTAGTGTAACCAAATTTGCGACTGGAAATAAATTCCCGCTGCCTTGGGAAGTACCTATGCAAAAAATCCCGAAAATAAAAATATAAGTTTTTGAGAAATTTCGAAATTACGGTGATTTTAGGGGATTTCCTGTCCGAAATTACCGTAATCCGGGATTTTCTCAAAAACTTATATTTTTATTTTCGCTATTTTTTGCTAAAATACTCCTCTATCCATTCTGAACAAATTTCCAGTCTCAAATCTGGTTACACTAGCAGCTCCAAAGAATGCCGCGGCCAAACAGCGAAAAAAGCGGATACGGCTACCGTAATCTCCCTTTATTTCAAGAATTGATAGTACTGTAACCTTGATTTTTTGATTTTTACGTTGTACACACATTTCTCAATGGCATAGCTGGTCTAAATGCGTCATTTGAAAAAAATGGTTAGCGAAATTGACAAAAGTTAGAAACTACAGTAACCATCGTATAAAGCCTGAAATAAAGCCTCAAATATTTATTTTTTGATCTGAAAATATTTTTCTCAGGCTAGTCTATTAATGGGTGAGGCGCGGCAATCAATGGTACCGTTTGAAAATTCATCATCTCCATTTTGGTCTTACAGTAACCGAACATAGCAACTTTGAACGCGTATATCTCAAAAACTTATATTTTTATTTTGGATTTTTTGGTCTTATTTTACGGAGAGTGTGTCCAACCTTTATAATCAAGCTTAAAAACTGGTTACACTTTTCCCAATTTTTGGCAGTAATCGATATGGTATGTTGAGGGTTATGGTACTACCAAAAGATGAAGAGATACAAAAAACATTTCAATTAGGAAAATGTTGGCCATGGTCGAAAACATCCAGTCGGTAAGTTTCATCCGCAACGCTCCATCCCTCAGCCCATCACAATAGAAACTTTACAAAACACAAAATGTTACAGTAATCCTCCAATAATGCAAATTTCGCAAAAACCTTTGACGCTTTTGATGTATGCCCTGTGGGTGTTCTATGAGCCAAATTTGAAGAAATTCGGTGATGGTCACCGCAACAATGTCCGGGCCATGCTTCACTTTGTAAAAAAATCCGTTTTAAACGCTTTCATAAAAAAAACTCCAAAGTTTCATTCCATTACTTGTTTCTCCCACGGAGCGGCTGTCCGAGATGACTTCGTCCACTCAGCCGGAATTGTCGATCGAAGGGCTGATCAAGGAGAAGGGCAACAATGATTTGGTCACAGTGGAGAAGGATGAGGCTCTCAACGAACCCGTGGTAAGATTATTGAAGGAAACTGGGGAAATTTTGAAAATTTGGCGGAAATAGCGACAAATTGGGACTAGAAATTTCTACGATATACGGAGATTTTTGGTTCGCGTTTTACAGAATTTTTTGAGTATTTTCGTTTTAAAAAGACGAAAATTGGGATTTTTTTATATTTTTTCAGTGAAAAAATCAAAATTTTTCGGCAAAGAGCTACAAATTATAGCGAAAAGTTTCTTATATTTTTTTCCTGGGCGCAGCTCGCAAAAAAAACTTTTTCCAAATTTTTGAATTTTTTGAATCTTGAGTGACAAAAAATCCCGTATTTTCCTATTTTTGCGGTTTAAAAATCTCAGTAATTTTTTTGCAAAGCGAAAAAAAAAATTTTTATTTTTCTAAAATTCAGAAAAAAAAATTTTTTTTGATTTTCATCAAACTTCGCTTGCAGAAAAAACGCAAGCCAAAGAAGGCAAAGCGGAACGACGCTGACGCCTCCGTGCAAAGCGAAGCCGAAGACAACGAACGCCGCAAAATCATCCGCCGCTACATGTTTTATTTGGGCATCATCGTCATCGAGGCCATTTTGTTGACCATCGGCGTGCTTGTTGGAATCGGATACGTGGGCGTTTTGTTGAGTCGTAAATGAGATTTTTTGAGTTTTGAGTGAATGAATAAAGTTTTCTTTTTATTTTTGAAATTTTTTTAAAAAAAAGTTCGGAAAATTAAAAAATTTTTTATGAATATGCAAATTTTGGGTAGGAAATTTTGTTAAATTCAAAGGTCAGAGCACTTCAGACGTATTTTACAATGAATAATTTTGAAATTTTTAAATTTAAAAATAATAAAATTAAAAAAGTTGCATAATTTTTTAATTAAGATAAAAGTTATGCAAATTTTAAATGCAAAATGCCTTGACTATTTTATGTTTATACAGGAAGTTGACATTTGATACGCTGAATCCTGCTTTTTTTGCAAAAAAGGTAATACTTTGGACAGTTTGATCGTATAAAATGTCACCTTGCAGTTGGATTATATATTTAGTAGGTGTTTTAAGGCGAAAAATACACAGTCTGTCCACATAGTGACACAGTCAAACCCCGGTTTTCCGGGTTTTCTCTGACCGCTCTCCGCATTCCGCGTACTCTCTCGGCCCCAAAGATCGTTGAATATCTCGGCTTCCCCTGCAAAACGGGAGCTAATATTTTGAGGAATTTATATGTGGTCTATATCCAAATTGTGTACAAAATTTGAAGAAAATCTGAGCGTCGCATTTGTCCCTTTTCTATTTTTTTATTTTAGCTTTTGCACAAATTATTCAAATTTTCTAAATTTTTTGCACTCAAAAAATTGCAAATTGCAAAGGATAAATCTTTCTGATAAAACTGCAAATTTGAAGCGTAGAAATCGTCGAATCCAATGTAGGGAATGAAGCCGTATTCCCATTTATTCTCCGGAAATGTCGATTTTGTCTTATTGAAGGCCTGTTTCAGTAGAAAATCTCGTTCGGAACTTGTGTAGCAGTGTCTGAAAAATAAATAATTCAAAAAAATAAAATAAAATAAAAAAACAAGAAAATAAAATAAAAAATAAATAAAAAAAGCAAGAAGAAATGAAATATACTATAAAATAAAGCAAAAAAAGTAAAAAAAAAATAAAAAAAAATAAAGAATAAGAAAAAATAGAATAAAAAGATTAATAAAATTAGGTAAAATAGAGGCGCTGCTGGGAGAAGGGGAAGGTGGTCACCAATCCAAAGTAAGAAGAGTGTAGGGTTTATTGAGACGAAATGAAGCACATACACGACCGGAGTCCGGAGACAGAAATTAAAGGATATTGGGAGTGTCTGTTGTATTTATACTTCCGAGTTTATTCAAATTTCCTGGGAACTTGGGTGAGAACCCAACAAAATAAAAAATAAATAAAAAATAAAATAATATAAAAAAATAAAGCTAGTTTTTTTAAACCTACCGTATTTTACTCTGCACTGTATTGTTAACCCCAGTAATCGTAAAACACAAATCTTTTGCTTGTTCCAACGTCCTGTCCTCGTACAACTCCTTCGTAATGCAATGAATGGTCAAGAAGGGGTTTTCAACGTATTTTACAACACAATTTTCCAGCGCATTGGCATCGCATTCACTTTTGCCATGTTGACAGTGCAGTTTGCCGGACTGAAAGTTATAAAATACTTCTAGTATTAGTCTGTCAGAAAGTGTAGTAGCTCTAAATAAATGCGTACTATACTACACGACTAGCAAACACTCACAATATACCAAGAATTTCCGAAAGGTATCAATTCAATGTCAATGTAGTCTTTATAGTCCTTATAGGTGAAAAACAACTCTCCCAAAATGAACTCCATACTCGCGGGACATTGGCTCGAATACACCAGAGAAATCTTCAACTTTTGGGCTTCATTGTGATTAGTTGCATTGCAAATATCTTGAAAATTACAAAGCCTTATCGCTCTCTCGTTTTTACAACGTAGTTCGGGGAGGATTGAAGAACAGTTAAACTGAGCATGGACAAAATTTAATTGGAGAAAAAGCAGTAGTACTAATAAATGGTTCATTTAGAAAAAAGTATAAAAAATTTAAAAAATTTCAGCTAATTTTCTTATTTAATTTTTTAGGCTGAATCAGATGCCTTCAAATTTTGTGAATCATAAATTTGCTGACAAGTGCTACGGACAATTTTAAAAAAACTTCAGCGCATTTACTTAATTAATTTTTTCGAAGCCTTGGTCAGCAGTCTGTCGGGAAAGTAATGAGCACAAAGTCGCTCCGCCGATTCCGTCGCTGAACTGAAAAGCAGTTTGATTTTCTCCGCAACACGATCAGGTCGAGTCGGCTCGGACAACGTCAATATAAGAGAAGCTACTAGTCCAATTTTTATCAGTCTGTCGGGAAAATAATGAGAAAGTCAAAAAACATTTTTTTTTCTTCATAACGGCCAAAAATGCAATCCGCAGTCGACAGGATTCGAACCTGTGCGGGCAGAGCCCAATTGATTTCTAGTCAATCTCCTTAACCACTCGGACACGACTGCACAAAACGTTCGCCATGAAAAGCGGCTCACAGTAAAAGGTCTGGAGGGTTGAATCCGATTATAAATCCAAAAATTTTGTTTGCGCGACATAAGTCTGTCGGGAAAATAATGAGCATTCTGTTTCGTCGGAAATCGCTGAAAATCGCATCGCCGCATGTCAAACTGAGATAAGCTAACAAGGGAAGTCGTTCAGATCGCAAATGAGTTGAGGTATGGGACCGGTATATTCTGATTCTCCATATTCGAAAACGGTAAGAGCTAAAACAATTTTTCCGTCTAGGCCCTGGTTTTCGAGAAAATCGACCGTAAAGTTTGACCGGAGACCCCGCTAAATAGTCCTCGCTCCGAAAGGCCTTTGGATCAAGAGCCAAATGGCGGAGGGCGAGTGAAAACGCTCTCAAAATTCTTTTGTCCGTGATACCGGGAAAGGTTCGAGTCCCGCTAGGCTCAACCATGTTCAAAGAGCTTTGATATTGAAAATGATAAAAAAAATTTCTTTTAGTTTTTTATGGTGAAGTGTACCCCAAGAATTTCAGATCAAATAGTTGTTTAGGAAAAAACACTTCATTTTTGAGTTCAGCGAGAAATGTGTCTATTTGACATGCATTTCAATATTTTCTCCAAAGTATGTAAAAGGAAAAATAATTTTGTTTGTTTTGCAACCATTATGAATTAGGGTTTGCTCCTAGCGGGACTCGAACCTTCCCCGGCATCCCGGACAAAAGAATTTTGAGAGCGTTTTCACTCGCCCTCCGCCATTTGGCTCTTGATCCAAAGGCCTTTCGGAGCGAGGACTACTTGGTGAAACTTTACGGTCGATTTTCTCGAAAACCAGGGCCCAGACGGAAAAATTGTTTTAGCTCTTACCGTTTTCGAATATGGAGAATCAGAATATACCGGTCCCATAGCTCAACTCATTTGCGATCTGAACGACTTCCCTTGTAAGCTAAAACAGTCCTGTGAATGGATTGGCAATTTGCCAAAAAAAGGCGCGAAAAAACGTTTTGTTGTGGGTATTAATATTTATTAAACAACTAGCTATAAATAAACTAATAAAAGACGAATAATACTATATGTAGCAAAAATTTTCGATCAAACGTAATAGCCGTAGGCGCGCATGATTTCTCGATACGCCTCCTCGGTGATGCATCCGCTGTTGTAGGGATATGAATAAGGTGCTGCGCAGTAGCATCCATTATATGGGTCACATGTATACGGCTTCATTTCGTATGCCTTCCTGCCATCACTACCGCCATTCCTGTCGCTCTTTCTATCCGAACTTCCTCCATTATTTGCTGGTGCTCCATTGCTGGCTCCTCCGCTATTGCCATCGGTCGGAGCCCAATTTGGTTCCTTATACTTCACCTCAACCGCAACGTCAGCCTTATTATCCCTCACAAATCCTCTATTGGCCATATCCTTCATTTTCCCGAGCTTCTCGCTGACCGTTGGCTTCTTTGAGGTGAAAAGCCGGTCAATCTTCATCTCCAAGCTCCTTGCTGCATCGTTATTCGCAATGTTCACTTTGATAGAGGCCTCATCAGCGGACTTGTCACCGCGCAGACTCTCGGCGGTAACGTCCAGAACAAGACATCCATCGGGGTCCTCGGGACAGGCTTCACTCCTCAGCTTCAGAGCGAATGAAGCACCTTTGATGCAGATGAACCCGTCAACTGTCCACTTTCCGAGCTGTTTGTACAGCTCGGCAAAATCTAACAACTGAAGGACATGAGAAATCGAGCTTTGTGTGTCTTTGGCTGAAAAAAGACTGATAGGGATTATGTCAACAAGCAAACAGGCAAGCTAAGAACTGTAGTTTAGAAAGCGAGGTTTTTAGGAAAGTTTTTATGCCAAAATCACGAAAAAGTGTCAAATTTGTTCCAAGTTTTGGCCTAAAATCTTGATCGTTTCTGCAAACGGCAGCTACTGAGGGCCGCTTCTAGAGTACTGTTACTGTTAGTCTAAAAAGCCATACAAAGATACCAAATCAGTCTGTCGGGAAAATAATGTGGATTTGGTGCACTCTAGAATGTCCCACTATCGCTTTGCTGCGGCTGGGGATTCGGTGCGCAACTGACAACGAGGGAATACACTTTGTTGCGGCACATCCACATTATTTCCCGACAGACTGATAGAAGACCAGTAAGATAAATTTGGGCAAAGAAGGCTTCGCAGTCGGAGCCCTGCCGAAAAATCGGCAGGTTCTCAGTTCAGGTTATCTACAAAAAGTATACTTACATTTCCCGCATTCTTCGACCCTTTTCTTTTTCTCGTCCTCCTTCGCTTTTGCGTCATCACTAGCGCCGCTATTACCATTGCCATTTTGGCTATTACCATTGTTAGAGCCTCCATTGCTATTGCCATTTTGACCGTTGCTATTTTGACCATTGCCATTGCCAGCGCCTTGATTGCCATTGCCATTATTAGCACCTCCATTACCGTTGCTATTTTGCCCATTGCCGTTATTAGCGCCTCCATTGCTATTGCCATTTTGACCGTTGCTATTTTGACCATTGCCATTGCCAGCGCCTTGATTGTCATTGCCATTATTGGCGCCTCCATTACCATCGCCATTTTGGCCATTGCCGTTATTAGCGCCTCCATTGCTATTGCCATTTTGACCGTTGCTATTTTGACCATCGCCATTGTCAGCGCCTTGATTGCCATTGCCATTATTAGCGCCTCCATTACCGTTGCTATTTTGCCCATTGCCATTTTGACCATTGCCATTGTTGGCACCTCCATTGCTGTTGCCATTTTGCCCACTGCCATTGATAGCGCCTCCATTGCTATTGCTGTTTTGGCTATTGCCGTTGTTAGCGCCTTGATTGCCATTGCCGTTATTAGCACCTCCATTGCTATTGCCATTTTGACCATTGCCATTATCAGCGCCTCTGTTACCATTGCCATTTTGCCCATTGCCATTTTTAGCGCCTTGATTTCCATTACCATTACTAGCGCCCCCATTGCTCTTGCCATTTTTGCCGTTGCCATTATCAGCGCCTTTATTGCCATTGCCGTTATTAGCGCTTCCATTTCCATTGCCATTTTTTCCATTGCCATTATCAGCACCTTTATTTCCGCCTCCACTATTCCCCTTCCCATTGTTACTCTTTTGTTGATCTCCTTTCGCCTTACTTCCTCCTTTATTCGGCAACAACCCACCCAAAGCGCCCTTCATCAACTGGTCAATTGCCTTGAAGAAGTCGTCCGGATTTGTTGCAGCCGCTTTCTGTTTCTTTGAAGTGTCCTTGCAAAGACCGCAAGTCCGAGGGCACCATCGTTCGATGATGCTCCAGTCCCATCGGGTCTTGTGCTTGTCGCAGCCGCCAGCTTTCTTTACGGCGGCGCATCTGAAATTGCAATGCAATTTGCGGACCCGGAAAGCTGGCCCGAATTTACAACGGAAGCTTTGAGAACCCCTAGAAAGATATCAAACTTGGTTGTCTCGTTTTTAAGTAAGGATGTGACACACAACATTTTGCAGCCGAGCCGTATGCAACACATCTTTCACAGTATTTTTTAAGCAATCTGGTTTAACAAGGTCATGAAATTTTTACTTTTCTGAACGCTGAGATGCCTGGCTCCGACGTTGGGCTCGGGAGCCGGAGCCACACCCAAAATTTCCGGCTCCGGCTCTGGCCCCCGGCTCTTGGCTCCGGCTCTCCGGAGCCAAGAGCCGGCTCCGGAGCCGTGGCAATCTCTGGTTGCAACTGCACAATGTGTTTTTCATTCGCACTGTGATCATTGTTCGTTGCGCAAAGCCCCTCAGCCCCGCCGAAACGTCTCAAGATTTTTTGGCCCGGCTAGTATTATTATATTTCCCGCCCCTTCTAATCGCTTACGCAACAGTATCCTTGCAATCATCTTCACAATGCTGACAAGTCTTTGGACAATACTTTCGCAACACATGGAAATGCGAATACGACGTGCAGTGGCCGCCCAGCGCCTCACACACAAACGGAACTTTGTCCTCACAGCCGGCCGCCGACCCGTGGGGAAGCAGAACAAGAACAATACAATGAAACAATGGCCTCATTTTTGGAACAATCAACAACAATCGGCCGTTATATATATCCCTACCGTAGCTTCAAAAAAGAACAATTTGAACCCGTTTTTTCGATATTTATTTGAGCAGCAGACCTGGCAACGAGTTGTTTACGATCCCATAAATCTCGGAAGAGCAGTGGACCCACTAAAGCTGCGTAAACAGAAACAACACAACTCACAGTACACCGGACATATGGATGTGTATTTAAAACATGCATTTGCAATGATTTGGACAGGGATTTGTGGTCTTGGCTGGTTGGCAAGGCTCCACAAATTCCAAAGTCCAAGTTCGAGCCTAGAAAAAATGTTTATCGAGTTTGATTGGAAATTTTATTGGCCAAGTCCAAAATTATAATAGGGTCGGCAGACCAAAAAAAGCGATTTTTTTATAGTTGATATCACAGTGTGCAAAATTTCTAGCATATTAAGTCGGTTACGAAAGGATGACAAGTGTCGCGACGCCCGCTTTTCGGTCACTTTTTTCCTTCTGTGAAATAAACATTAATTGCGATTGGCATCGAAGCTCCACTTTCACACGTCCAATCGTATCCCCAAACTCGATCAAGCCCCGTGAGTACAGTATTTATGTCGCCAGTTTTCAGCCAGGGTTATGCATTTTTCAGGGGTTAGTAGGATTTATTATTCTTGACGACGAGCAATAGGGGCCCTCACTCCTTGACCTTTGTCTAGATCTTGACATTTTAACTCTTCCAAAGACCAGTACGAAGAAAACAATTGTAGTGTCGGTGATTTCTAACGGCTAACACTTGAATTAGATAATATGTTTTTATTCTTTTCTTGAGAACTCTTCATTTGCCGACGATTAGAAATGTGAACCGGGAATTTTTCGAATGAAAATGCCCTTTTTGAAACATGTGTTCACTTGTCCCCTAAAAGGTGTAATTTTGTTTCTATTTGTCCTCGGCTTTCGAGGTTACAATATAATTACATATATATGTATATATTGGCAGGCGGGGGCCGAATAAAGTGCATCGACACTTTTTTCGACACTTTTTTTCCTTTTTCACAGTTATAATGTCTTTATCTGCCTGTTGGGAAAATAATGAGCTTGATGTCGCTGTGCCGGTGAAAAGCAATTAGATTTTGCCGTTTTTTCGTCACTCAGCGGCGATAGACTTTCGATGCATCTTTTTGCTCATTATTTTCACGACAGACAGATGTTTTTTTCCGGACTCCCTTGAAGATACTGTTTAAGACTGTTGCATAGAACACAAACTCAGAAATATAGTTGTGTTCTTCCTACATCTCCCAAGCCGGGTACAAAATCTGAATCTCCTCAAAAAGGCGAGAAACTCATGATTAACTTGATTCTCTGTAACATTAAGGCACAGTACATTCCAAAGTACAATTTTCACCCACGGAAAACCAGCCGTACTTGAAGTTGAACCATGCTGTTATACTAGCAATCCGGACTTGAAAAAATTGCTTTTTTCACATACCCCCCCCCCAATAATGAAAAAATTAGAATAATAAAAAAATGCTTATTAGAGTAAAATACAAATTCAGAAACTATTCATTCATTCTCCTTTTTGTTCTCCTTCGAAGCTGGTTGTCATGTCGGAAATATTCACGTTGAAGGGCTTGATCTAAAACATTCCTTCCCACCAAGCTTTCATTGACGCTCTCTGGAGTGCTGTTGCTGGATCATACAACTTGGATTAATTCTTTGAAATAAATTTTGGGGGTTCAGAATGAACGAGGGGGTTTATACTGGATATAAAAAGTGCGACACTCACTCAGATTTATTTCAATTTCGCACACATTTTCGCCATAGGCCACACATCAATTCCTGGAAGTTTAAGCTCGCGCTTTGCAGGGGAGAACCGAGATATTCATTCATCTTTGCGGCGCAGAGAGAAATGGTAAACCAAGAATGTTACAGTCAGTAAAACTCGGCCGAAAAGTTGTCACACCCCGTAATAACTTTAAAAAAATCAAAAGTTTGATGCTAATTGCCCGTTAAGAGACCAAGTAAATAATTAGCGGCTGCACTTTGATACACCGCTCATACTACAGTGTATATAGTGACTCTTTGTTGGTTAACACGCTGAGCCTTAGTTTCGGCTCAAACTGGGCGGGCAAAAAAAGCAGACATGGCAACCGGGCCGGGCCGGCCCAAAAACCCATTTTGCACCGTGCATTTGAGATTTTGCACTGTGCAATTGAACATCGCGCGATAAAAGCCATTTTTGTCGGAGTTGTTGTGATATTGGTTTGTCGGAAAAATAATGTGGATTTGTCCCATAAAATCATGTCAATTTTTAAGTTTTTGCGCAAAAAACTTAAAAATACTGGCAAGGATGTGGTCAAAAAGTGGTCTTCTTTCTGACCACTCTCCGCGCTTCCCATACTCTCTCCGCGGCAAAGATCTTTGAGTATCTCGGCCGCCGCAGAGACCATTCTTTTGAAAAAAAAATTATCTTTTTGTTCTTGATGCTACAAAAGGATTTATGTCGCTTCGAAACATTTATTTTTGAACTCAAAGTGAGTTGTGAAGTGCAGTGCAATTATTGCGAACAAAGAGAAGGATTCTCTTCCGTTCGTCCTCTAATTGTCAGTTTATGAAGTACCAGACACCAAAACCTACGGAGACGCATAATTACCATCTACGTTGGAATTTCGTAACGGACAGTGAGGCCGTAAGATGGGCACGGCTTCGTCTTTACTGCACATTTACAGAAAGGACATTGTTCTGTGCATTGGATGATGCACGTGTACACATGTCAAGACCTTTTGACCCACCTATCAGTCTGTCGGGAAAATAGTGGGCGCAATATCGCATTGCAGAAGTGAAAAGCTACAGTGGCGGACCTGATCCATTGACCAAAAACGTTCCATTTTGATTCGGGAAGCATCAAAAATGCTGCAAAATACATTACTCTTTTTGTGAGGGAAAGGTCGCGCCCTTCAAAACGAAGTTTTTTTAGTTGAAGAGGGAGGCATTTTGCCACATTTTTGATACTTCCCGGATGCAAAATGATAAGTTTTATGCCACTGGATTAAGTCCCTCACTGTTTTTTGTTTTTCCGCAACGCAATTCACGAGGCGCGATTTTTTTTTAAAAAATCCATATTATTTTTCCGACAGACTGACAGGTGGGTCAAAAAGCCTTGACATGCCTGCAAACATTTTCTCAATTCACCGCAAGCCGCGATAAATCAAACAAGTGCACTCTGCCGCCGCGCATTCACACTTTGTCGCAAACTTGCGACCACCCAGTTTTAAAAGGCTTACGCGCTACGATGCTTCCTTGAACGATAAAAAGCGTGCTATTCACGTGTACGGGACATCAAACCTCCTTGACCCCTATGAAGCACAATTTGTTTAGTATTAAAGACTTTTACTGTACCGCTTATTGACTTTGCCGAGCTATTTTCGAAGCTTTTGAACCGTACTTTGCATCAGTAGATATACGAATGTATGTATGTAGTTGTCTGCTCTTGTTACCCACATGAGTTCAAGAGGCCATGCCTGCAAGGGGCTTGACTAAAGTGTATTGAAGAAAAGTCTTTGGTAACTTCAGACATGGCCAAGAAAACTTATAATCTTTTTTGCTTGGCGAAGGTTGGCTTGAACCTTTAGCATAAATGTCTGGACTTTTGTTTTGGGTTCTTGAAGCCCTGTTTGTAACCTTCATGCGTTCAAGATGCCTTACGAAGTGGGTTGATCAAGGTGTACGTATAATACATTATATAAACATATGTGAAAGAACGTTGGTAATTTCAGACATAGCTGGGGCCAGACTTTTGGGGCTTTAGCAGTTCTTGTTAGGGTATATGCAGGTCGACCTTTAAGGGGGTCAGGTTTGAGCCTCCACCTGTAAATAAGGTGAAATATTTTAGGCCTTTATAGAGTGGGACTTTGGGCACTTTGGGGTGAGGGAGGGCCAATATGATGATGACAATCACCAGGCGATTGGTCTGGACGGGACAAAAGCTCGGCTCTTTGCTATGGTTGAGCCTGAACTCTCCCCCGTTTTGAACACTCCCCCATTTTCAAAATCGAAAAAGCGAGGTGTGACATCTTATACGATGAAAAAAATTTTCAAATTGGGAAGCATAAAAACTATTTTTTAGAAACGATGTTATCGTATAAAATGTCACTTTTCAATTTGAAAAAAAATTTCATCGTATAAGATGTCACACCTCATTTTTCTCAATTTAAAAAAAATTTTCGTCGTATAAGGTGTCACACCTCATTTTTCTCAATTTGAAAAAAAAATCATCGTATAAGATGTCACACCTCATTTTTCTCAATTTTCAAAATTAGGGGGAGTGTTCAAACAGGGGGAGGGTTCATTCAAGGGGGAGTGTTCTGAAGGGGGAGAGTTAAAAAAGGTGAAGAGTTCAGATTGAGGGAAAGTTCAGCAAAAGGGAAGAGTTCTGCCGCAACGCTTTGCTATGTCTGGGTAGCTATGATGTGGCCCCCGTATTTCATTTTTTCTGCTGGTAAAATAACAACGCAACTCCTCAAAGATTATACATTATTCTTTTGAGGTTTTTTTCTCTATCATTCTTTCAAAATTTGCTGTTTTTTGGTTTTTTCACTAGATTTTTAATAAAAAATTGCAATATAGGGCGCGCCGCTTTGAAATGGCTATAACTTTTTTTATTTTTCGGCAAAATTTGAAGCTTCTTTTTTCTTCTTTTTCTCAGACTTTCAAATTTTGTTTGCTACCAAACATGTTATTTTTATTGGACTACAACTTAGACTACAAAAATGTCTAATTCTAATGGGCGTTCTTTCAGAATGTTTGAGCGTTCCGCCGTGGTGACGGCCCAGTCTATCATGGAGCTCTGTGAGCTTGCCGAAACTGTTCAAGGAGACCCGTATATAATGTGTGTTCAGAATCTTCAACTCCCTTTAGCGCTGTTATCGATATACGCAATGTGGCAGATCACGCGCTCAGTTCGCTACAAAAAAGTGGTTGGAATTGCGTCGCCGGCTCTGAGAGTGAGTTGATTTATTGTTGGGTTTTGAATTTTTACTTCTCTGATCTGCATTTTGCGTGTTGTTTTTTGAATTTTCAAATTCCCGCCAAATTTTAAAATAATTGAAAATTCTTGGCATTCTGTTGCAACTTGATTAAAAATTACGAATTTTAGTGTAACATTTTTTTGCAAATGTAAATAAGGTTGTGAGTTAAAATATTTTAATTTTATTCGAATTTTCAAATTTCCCGCCAAATTTTTAAATAATCGAAATTTCTTGGCATTCTGTTGCAACTTCATTAAAAATCACGAATTTTAGTGTAATAAGAAATTTTTACAAATATCAGTAGGGTTTTGAGTTGAAACATTTTCGTTTTTTTTTTGAATTTTTAAATTTCCCGCCAAATTTTAAAATAATTGAAAATTCTTGGCATTCTGTTGCAACATCATCAAAAAGCGTTAATTTTACTGTCGTAAACAATTTTCAACCGTCAAGATGGTTATTGGTTGAACTATTTGCAAAATTTTTTTTTTGAATTTTCAAATTCCCGCCAAAAAAATATTTTGTTGGCATTCTGTTTCAAGCCGGCGAAAGTGATTCTGTAGCCAAGTAAAATGATTAATGTGTCTCTTAGAGTCACTCGTAGCCTTTTTCTTGCCAAATACACAACAAATTGCGCCACTTTTTTCCAATTTTCTAATTTTCAGACTCTCTTCCTAATAATTCGCATCTCCTTTTACCTGCGCGCAATCTTTGCCTTCTCCTTATACGTCTACACAATGCTTCGTGTAAATTTCTACGAGAGGCCTTGCCACGTCGCATGGACCGTGGGGGAATGCATTACAGTTCGAATACCGAATTATTTCGCGTTGTTTACTGTTTGCTTGACTCATGTGGCGTTAATGGTGGACCGATTGGGCGTCACTTTTTATCGACGACATTACGAGGGAGGCTGGACGGCTGCTTTTTTCTATTCTACGGCAATTGTAAGTTCTGTTACCGAGTTTGGACATTTTATACGATGGAACATGTTTCTGCTTTTTTGTCGTATAAAATGTCGCTTAAGGATTAGATTCGGATTGAAAAATGCTTTGAATTTTTTCCTGATAATTTTGGTGACATTTTATACGATAAAACCTGGTTTTTAGCCGTTTTCAAAAATCAAATTTTTTCGTATAAGATGTCACCCACACTCAAAAAATCAAGTACGATTGTATCAGAAATTCCTCTCAAGTCGTTCTGTGCTGACATGCGACGATCACTGTTTCAGACCCCTTTCTCCAAAAATAATTTTTCATCGTATAACATGTCACTTGGATATCTTTGTTTCTTCGCGATGTTTTAAATCTCGATGGTTTCCTTTCAGGTGTCACTTTCAGCAGTCTCTTGCTACCACATTTATGGTCAGGAGGACTTTCGGCAACTTATTTTTGCATGTATCACCAGTTCTTCGGCGGCGCAATACAAATTGGTGCAAGTAATGATAACCCTGCTTGTTTTGGACTTGATTACTGCGTTTGGAGATACCGTGGCTTTTTACGAAAACCGTAAACGCTTTTTTAAGTAAGTTTAGTGAGTTTGCGGAATTGGACATTTTATACGATAAACCGTGTTTTAGGTATTTTTTGTCGTATAAATCATCGCCATTTCCCAAGTAAAATATTATTTCATAAAAGCAAAGAGTGCATTCAGCATTTTTTTACATTTTGTTGCTAATATTTTATACGATCAAACATGTTTATAACGTGCTCTGTCGAAGACACATTTCATCGTATAAGATGTCACAAAAAATATGGTTTTGTAAACCCAAGAGGGCATTCAGTATACTTGGATATTTTTTGGTAATATTTTATACGATCAAACATGTCTATGACGTGTTCTGACTAAGACATATTTCATCGTATAAAATGTCGCCGTAATTTTTCTGGTTAGAAATGTTTTTTTATCGAGAATATTACCAATCGACTTCCTTGATCAGTCGTAAAATTCAAGTTTCACTTTTCTCAAAAAAAGGTTTCATCGTATAAAATGTCTCTGACCTCCAAATTCTTCCAGCAAAATCAACTATTACGAGTTCTACAGTCTGGACAAGTCGATGGACCTGCGCGAAAACCGGATGTCGATCCGTGTCGTGCTTCCCATGTCCATTATCCATCTCTCCTTAACGCTGCCGTTGGTGGCCTCCTTTCCAATCGGACGTCAATTGGAATGGCACCAGCCGACATCAATCCTGCTCTACGTGGAGTCGATCAGCCTGATCCAGTCGCTCTATTTCTTAATGTCACCTATTATTTTGAGTCTATGTTATGTTTGTAATGAAGAGGGCGCGAGGGATGAATGGCTGGGGACGAATCAGCAAAGTCATGCTGACGAGCACTTTCGACAACTCCAATCCCAGCTGAAGTTGCAAGGATAATGAGTCGACGGTTTATTATTTGCTCAATTTTGATGAATCTGCCATATTTGAATAAATTTGAATAATTTTTGAAAATTTGAATAATTTAAAAAATTTGAATAATCGCGGCTAAATTTGGGATTCAAATTTAAGCAAAAGCTTTAGACATATTTTCTCATCAATTACATTTTCAAACAGAAATGTGATTGATGAGAAAAATAAAAAAATTTGAGTAAATTCAAAATTTGCATATTTTGAAAAATTTGCATAATTAAAGAATTTACAAAAAAATTTGCATACTCAGCAAATAATAAGAAATCTCTGACCGATATGTCGCGACATAATTCTTAAATTCGCATAATTTCTCAAATTTGCGTAACAAAAAATTTTAATAATTAAAAAAATTTTAAAAAAATTTGCATAATCAACGAATAATAATAATAACATTTTTCCCCTTTTTCCCAAAACTAAAAATTTTTAATCGACATAATTTTTCAATTTGCATAAATTCCAAAATTTGCATAATTAAAAATTTCGCATAATTTCAAAAAAAAAATTAAATTTTTCAATGTGTTCTTATGCCACATCCGCAGAAAAAACATTTTCAAAAACTTATATACCCCAACAAATTTGCATAACCAAGCCAGACAAAAAAAATCAACATGAAATATTTCTGCGTGTTCGCGTCAGAGCCCCGTAAAAAAACTACAGCTGCTTTCGTTTTTCATTTTTCGTTCGCATTGCCAAAATGGGACTCTTCCAGATGCCTACCGCAAATCAAAAACCCTTCAGCTCACTGCTCTGTTGGTGGGCGATTCTCCGCTTCTTGCTCTCTTTGCTGCAACGCGGCCATGAGAATACGGTTTTGGATGAGAAGCTCTTCATCCAATTTACATCATGCTTGTCCTGGGGACTAATTCTGGCCGTGCTCTTCTTGGTTTTTGATGGCAGTAATCGCCCATACAGCAACTACACCCAATTTAGTGCTGTCTTGGTAAGGGAAAAAGACCGATTTTTTGTTGGAATTTTATATTTGCGATCAATTTTTGGCATGAAAATGTTTGTGAATATTATTTGTGTCGAAAAATCAGAAAGTGACATTTTATACGATAAAACATGTTTTGAAAAAACAGAAGGTTAGCTCGTAAAAGTTTTCAATTAGACTCTGGATCGACTAAAATTGCAGTATTTGTCAAGTTACTAAAGAAAATAAACGGTGACATGTTATACGATGAAATCTGTTTTGACCAAAAAATATGTTTCACCGTATAAAATGTCATCTGGTTTATAAAGCAGGCGAAAAAGACTGTTATTTGCTATTTCAACAGAAAATTTTTTAAGGTGACATTTTATACCATCAAAAAGTACCGATTATTTGACCAACAAGTTTGATCGTATAAAATGTCACCCTTCAAAAAATAAAAACAATAGCGTTCTTTGACGTATTTTACCACTCTATTTTTAGCTGCTCAACATTGGAGCCATAACTTTCTACGCGGCAAGTTTGAGTTTCAAAATTTACGACCATTTCGACGAGTTCGTCAAGATGCCAAACATCTTCCAAGCCTTCGTCGTAGTGGCGCTCCTTGTCTATTATAGCTGCTTAATCAGTCTGGCGCAAATCTACCTCTCCATCCCACATTTCGCAAAACAAAAATTCGAATATGCCAAGTTGGTGGAGATCAAATCCGTTAAAGTTGTTGAACCTTGAACTTGTTGTATTTGTTCGTTTTGTACAGCTAAATAAACGATCCCCATAAGCCTTTTCTATGAATTTTTTCTCATTTCACACACTCCAAATCATGAAAAAGCTGTTTGCAAACTGTTCAGACAAAACACGAAAGTTTACGTCTCAGCGATAGTTCCGATGCATAGTGCGAAACCAAAAAAAGTGAATTGCACGGTGCGCAATGGGGTTTTCGAAGGCGCTGATTTCGAAAATCGTATCCATTTTTTCTCAATTTTACAATTTTGCTTAAGCAGTAGTGTTAAGTAGTAATTTTAAGAAAAATTTTTTTTGAGTAATGGATTTAGGAGTTTTCGAAGGCGCTGATTTCGAAAATCGTGTCCATTTTTTCTGAATTTTACAATTTCGCTTAAGCAGTAGTGTTAAGAAGTAATTTTTTTTTTATTTTTTTTTCGAATAGTGGATTTAGGGGTTTTCGATGGCGCTGATTTCAAATCTCGTATCCACTTTTTCTGAATTTTACAATTTTGCTTAAGCAGTAGTGTCTAATGTTTGGTTGTCAAGACAAAAAAAGTGTCAGAAGTATCACAAGATCGTACAAATTTGACCAAGTTTTTACCCGTTAAAACATTTCTTTTGAGGAATTGAAGATTAAGGCAAAAATTTAGAAGAAATGGATGCGATTTTCGAAATCAGCGCCATCGAAAACCCCTAAATCCATAATTCAAAAAAATTTTTAAAAAATTACTACTTAAAACACGATTTCTGACTCGGTGAATTAGCCGTGGACATAGGAAATTTTCGATTTTGAGATTTACAGCTGGATATAACCGAACCCATCATATAAGTGTGTTCCTGAAGCCTTTTGCCCCAATTCTCCCGTTAACCTAGTTTTATTTACAATTTAAGAAATTTACAGTAACGTCAAATATCTCAAAATTGGGAAGACGTAGAGCCGTAAAACCGTGGTCATATATGTTTTTGGGCACTGAGAATCCAATGGAGGTGGTTTTGGATCGAAAGGATTACTGTAACATAGCAAACTTTCGCTTCGGCCGCACAAAATCGGCCGTAAAAAAGTTGTTTCTGAAAACCCACAGCTGAATTTTTGATATGTTGATCAGCATAAAATTCTGCCCTAGAAACATTAAAAAAAAGTCCAAAAATGCGGGGGGCTATTTTCGTGGTATAGTGGATTTTGACAAAATCTACCAATCTGACGGCCCGAGTTCGAGTCCGGGAGGACGCAAATCGCTTAGAATTGGTCGGGAATGACTTTAAAGGCGCGGATATGGAAGATTGAGTTTATTTCAGGTGATTTTGATAACAATCCGGCAGTTTTCAGATTTTTTGGTGGAAAAAAGCCGAAAATACAACTTTTTGACAAATCGTATTTTATACGGCTGTTTTGCGTTCATGGCAGAATAAGAACTTATATTTAATCGTTTGAAGGGCTTTTCCGCAATTAAACCCGTCAAAAAAATTTTTTTTAATATTGTACTTGACATCTCATAAGCAAGCAGTGCATGGACCTTCCAGGTTGTAATTTCTTTCGCTCTGACTTGACAAATGGTCTGCAAAAGTTATAACTAGCATAAAATTTAAATTTTTTCACGTCTAACCACAAGAAATCTAGTTTGAAAATGAAAATTTCCCCGCATTTCATCGATTTTTCTATAAAGCGAAATCACTTCGATGATGAAACATTTTCTGAAAAACGTGTGTAATATGGTCATAAAACAGTGAATTACGTTGTCATTAGCCAAATTTCGTTAATACAGATGTCTGCAAGAGGCAAAATTAACGGGTACCTAGTATAATATCTAAATACTCAGAAAATGGTTTCTACTTGTTGGAAACACCTTAAAAACACTATATATAAGTTCTTATTCTGTCATGAACGCAAAACAGCCGTATAAAATACGATTTGTCAAAAAGTTGTATTTTCGCCTTTTTTCCACCAAAAAATCTGAAAACTGCCGGATTGTTATCAAAATCACCTGAAGTAAACTCAATCTTCCATATCCGCGCCTTTAAAGTCATTCCCGACCAATTCTAAGCGATTTGCGTCCACCCGGACTCGAACTCGGGCCGTCAGATTGGTAGATTTTGTCAAAATCCACTATACCACGAAAATAGCCCCCCGCATTTTTGGACTTTTTTTTAATGTTTCTAGGGCAGAATTTTATGCTGATCAACATATCAAAAATTCAGCTGTGGGTTTTCAGAAACAACTTTTTTACGGCCGATTTTGTGCGGCCGAAGCGAAAGTTTGCTATGTTACAGTAATCCTTTCGATCCAAAACCACCTCCATTGGATTCTCAGTGCCCAAAAACATATATGACCACGGTTTTACGGCTCTACGTCTTCCCAATTTTGAGATATTTGACGTTACTGTAAATTTCTTAAATTGTAAATAAAACTAGGTTAACGGGAGAATTGGGGCAAAAGGCTTTAGGAACACACTTATACGATGGGTTCGGTCATATCCAGCTGTAAATCTCAAAATCGAAAATTTCCTATGTCCCGGCCTTGCACACTGCTGATTCAGTGAGTCAGAAATCGTGTTTTAACACTACTGCTTAAGCAAAATTGTAAAATTCAGAAAAAATGGATACGATTTTCGGAATCAGCGCCATCGAAAACCCCTAAATCCTTTACTCAAAAAAAAATTTTTTAATTACTAATTAACACTACTGCTTAAGCAAAATTGTAAAATTCAGAAAAAATGGATACGATTTTCGGAATCAGCGCCATCGAAAACCCCTAAATCCTTTACTCAAAAAAAATTTTTTAATTACTAATTAACACTACTGCTTAAGCAAAATTGTAAAATTCAGAAAAAATGGATACGATTTTCGAAATCAGCGTCATCGAAAGAGCGCGATCGCGGCGAGACGAGATTTTTTCGCGATAAAATCCACATTATTTTACCGACAAACTGATAAGCATAATTTGCAATGCGCTCTAACGCAGAGTTTTCTGGAACGCGTTGAAAATTGACAGAAAAAATATTGCGGTTTCATAAATAGAACCTAAAAGAAAAGCCATTCATTCTTGCTGTTTTCTACCTCCAAACGTGACCATGAATTTGCAAGCCAATCTTCGTGGGGTGGAAGTGAGTTTTTATTATTTGTTTGTATTTTTTGTGTCAGTCTGTCGGGAAAATAATGAGCCAAATGTCATCGCTGAAGTGAAAACTAGTTTGGTTTTTTCCCCTTACAAGATATGTAATAAAAAAGTATCATTAATTTTTTCAGGAAAGATATTTTTACCATTTTCTGATTTGGTGGGCCGTTTTTTGTCTTCAGCTTTCTTTCAATCCTGAAGATGAGTTCAAAGGTACCTTCTTTGTGAAGTACTCCACTTACACCAACCGGATCACTTGGGCAATTCTCGTCACGGCCTTTACTTTACTGCATGCTCTCGCAGGTCGCGGCAAACCCAACTACACTGTGTTCAGAATCGTTTTGGTAAGATTTTTGTATACATAAGTCTTTAATTAAAGGGACCTAGAAAAAAATGACGTCACTTTTCGAAAAACTTTCTTGAATTTTTATGGCATCAGGCTCAACGAAATATTCACTAAAATCAAAATAAAAACGTATTAAGATAGCCTTATTTCATACTGTAGCTAAAAATCAAGAAGTGACATATTATACGATGAAACCTACCTGAATGGAGAAAATTGGTTTAGACAGGATTGATCGTATGAAATGGGTCAATTGGACACTAGATGTTACTTGGAAAACAAATATAATCAGCGTTGACTTAAATCGGGTGACATTTTATACAATGAATCCTTTTTTGTAAAAAATGGTTTATACAACTGTCATCGTATAACATGTCACCAAAAGTTGGTTTCTTTTTAGAAATGCTTCGAGTACTTCGTTTTTATAAATAAAGTGACATTTTATACGATGAAACCTGTTTTTTGCACAAAACGATGCTTAGGACAACATTCATCGTATAAATTTTCACGATTCTTATCGAAAAATACAAAGTCCAAATTCTCTTCACTTTTTTCACCTAAGACGTAATAATGTAAAAAATTTTAGGTCTGATCTTTTGCTCATGCTAAATTTTATAAAATATCGATTAATTTTCTTGCAGGCTGCAAATATCGTTGGACTGGCATACTTTGTGTTTTGGTCAATATTCGTGTTGATTGAAGGTTATGACGACTTCGTTCATGCTTCATTAGTGACAAAGATTTACATCGGCTCCATTGTAGCCGTGTATTCTGGAAGTACCCTTGCATTTACTCGGATCTTTTTCAAGTACGGTAGACGTCCGTTTGGAGAGACGAAGAAAGAAGAAAATTATGAGACTTTGTATGGTTGTGATTTGAAGATTTGAAATGTTTTTTGATTTTTTCAAATAAACAAAAAAAATAAAAAGACCGTATTTTAGCGTTTTGTAAAGAGCAAATTGTTTTTTTGGCGAATTTTTCTAATTTTTCTAGAACAAAAAGACATGTTATACGATGAAAGTTGTATAAACCATACTTTACAAAAAAGGTTTCATTGTATAAAATGTCACCCAATTTAAGCCACCGCTGATTATGTCTGCTTTCAAAGTAACATTTAGTATCCAATGGACCCATTTTATACGATCAATCCCGTCTAACCTATTTCTCCGCTCAAACATGTTTCATCGTATAACATGTCCCTTATTGATTTTTTGCTGCAGTATGACTGAAGCTATCCTAATACGTCTTAAGTTTGACTTTAACAAATGTTTAGTTGAGTCTGAGGCCATAAAAATTCAAGAAAGTTTTTCGAAAAGTGACGTCATTTTTTTCTATGTCCCTGTAATTGAAGGCTTATGTATACAAAAGTCTTACCAATTTGACTTTGTCGGGGGATTTTCCACCCCCAAATTACACTCACAATTCGGACGCGAAATGTCCCTCTCCGGTTCCTGCAAGTGTAATGTTGTACACCTTGTGCCAATTTTAGTCGGACAGCTGTAAAGTTGTGGGGTTGCGAAATGTTCGTAATTCATTTAATTCGCACTTTTTATGAGCGCCGTTTCTTCGCTTAATTCCAAAGAATGTCCGCAAGCCGCTCACTTTCGGCCTTTTTTACGTTAGTGCCTGAGGACAATTTGTGTCTTTAAACGTATACAATCTCGTCTCTTTTTTATGGTTAGGAATGGGAAAGGTGAAAAAGATGAAAAAAATCGAGGAAAATGGGGGTTTTTTATATTATACTATACTCCGCGCATTTAATTTGGATCAACCTGGATCTCAAAAACTAAGCAAGGCCTGGACTTGATTATTTTTGTATAATAATCTATTGTCATAAAGAACATGTTTGAGCAACAAACAATCACATTTCAGGTAAGTGTAAAATTTTAAATTGCAATTTAAGATTTCGGGTGCGCAGAAAATTTGGATCAACCTTGCAAAAAATTATTTTGCTCGCTGAGGTGGTCGATTTTATTGTTGTAAATGGTGAATACGGATACTTCGGAGAAATAATATTCTGACGGTATCAGTTTTGTGCAATATTTCTTATGACATTGCCCGTTTTGGGAGATACCAAGGAATACGGTAAGAAAACTCAAACAAAGCCCAAAAACTGATAATTGTAACTCCTCAAATTGCTTGCAAAGGTTACTAATATTTACTTGTAGGTCATGCAAATTATTTTAGCAAGGCATCCAGTGGAGTTCACGGCATCTACGACTTCTACGAGACATAAATCAGAATTTTTCTGAAAAAAGTTTCTAACGGAAAGTTTACGGTACTTTTTAAAAATTTTCTGATGGGTTGTTCGATGCGCCGCCAAAAAGACAACAACATTGCTGAAATTTCTACGTAAAAAGATTTGTCAATTCTTACCGTTTGAAGTCGCCTGACGGAGCGGGGATCAAAAACTACACCGTGCATCACACGCGTTCGGTTGGAAATTCCCTCCCTGAACTAAAACCACCGTTGTATTTGATTTTATAGCAGTCTACAAGGTGCATATTTAATAAGCAAACAAAAGATGAAATTCTCCGATGCACTGTAGCTTCTCAACGAGTCTTCCATATTTTGAATTTTCGCGGATTCAAAATATTGCTAAAGTTTTGTGCCCTACGGAATTGATACCAACGAATCGTATGAACTAATTAAATCAAAAGCTGCCACATCATGTCCTGTATATGCTGACCCTCAAAACAGGCACTAGAAAATTTTTAAAAAGTACCGTAAACTTCCCGTTAGAAACTTTTTTCAGAAAAATTCTGGTTTATGTCTCGTAGAAGTCGTAGATGCCGTGAACTCCACTGGATGTCTTGCTAAAATAATTTGCATGTCCTACAAGTAAATATTAGTACACTTTGCAAGCAATTTGAGGGGTTACAATTATCAGTTTTTGGGCTTTGTTTGAGTTTTCTTACCGTATTCCTTGGTATCTCCCAAAACGGGCAATGTCATAAGAAATATTGCACAAAATTGATACCGTCAGAATATTATTTCTCCGAAGTATCCGTATTCACCATTTACAACAATAAAATCGACCACCTCAGCGAGCAAAATAATTTTTTGCAAGGTTGATCCAAATTTTCTGCGCACCCGAAATCTTAAATTGCAATTTAAAATTTTACACTTACCTGAAATGTGATTGTTTGTTGCTCAAACATGTTCTTTATGACAATAGATTATTAAACAAAAATAACCAAGTCCAGGCCTTGCTTAGTTTTTGAGATCCAGGTTGATCCAAATTAAATGCGCGGAGTATAGGTGCCAGGTAGTGAAAAAGTCTAATTTGTGTGATTTTCTCAATGCACAAAGATTGGATTTGCTTCGAATTTTAGATTTATATTGTACATAGAGTCGATGTTAAACGCTGAAAATTTTAGCCCTCGGTTTGCATGAAGAGCTGAGATATTCAACCATCTTCGCTGGCAATATGACAAAATTTTATGAAACAAAAAAATGCAAATTTTATATCACCGTTTTTCTTTCAAATTATAAATTTTAGTTTTTTGATGATAAAAGTAACGCTCTCTAATTTCCTGTTCTTACTTTACTACACAACCTATATACTTAACATTTTTGGCCAAAAAATTTTAAGCCATAGGGCATGCGATTTATTTTGGTCAAAACCTCCTGTTTTGACCTCATTTCCCACTAATAAAAACCGTGTTTTACTCCGGTTCCGGTCACGAAAGCCGTCGTCATATAGCGTGACGTCCACTCAGTTTGTGCATGTGATACCATCGATCTTCTTTTGGCAACATTCTAGGTTTGTACGAGAAGTCTTTTGACATTAAACTACAGTCCTTTTTCGCAATGAAGCCTGGCTATAACAAATAATTTCAGACGTCATTAGAGTCCATTTTTGAAGGGGTTACGGACTTTTTTTGACGGTTTATGGTGGTCTTTGGACATATGCAAGCTTTTTCGGTTTTTTTTTATTTTAACTCTTCAGGTTACAGACTGACTGACTGACTGACTGACTGACTGAGTCTGACCCCCCGCGTCTCGACGGGAAAACAATCACAGTTGGGGCATTGTGTTGGTGAACCTCGCACTTTAAGGAGATTGACTAGAAATCAATTGGGCTCTGCCCGTTTTCCTATAACGAACATATCCATAGACCTGTGAAATTCGTTGTGCGGGAGTTTTGAAGAGACAGGCTATAGACGAATACCACATAAATCCACATTATTTTCCCGATCCAGTGGCAAAAAACGTACGCATTCGGGAAGTATCAAGAAATGTAGCAAAATGCCTCCCTCTCCAAGCGAAAAAAGCTCCGATTCCAAAAGCGCGCCTCTCTTTTTGTGAGGGAAAGTGCGATCCCTTCATAACGGAGCTTTTTCTTTAGTTGGAGAGGGAGGCATTTTGCCACATTTTTTTGATACTTGCCGGTGTCACGCGCTAGCTATGAGTCGTGGTTTAAGATGGCCCTTAACTTGCCCGCTACTACTAGTATTCACTACCCCTTGATAACCCGGAGACACAAACTAGAGGACTCTGGCAATAAAACTGTGAACTCACGATATTGACTCCAATTAGTTTCTACCACCACCGCACTATCACAAGGGGACTTCCAATAATTACCACAAATATATTTATTTCACCAACGAGAGTCTGACCGAAAAGCGGTCGATCCATTACATTTATATCAAAATATTCATGTTTATGCTAATTTCTGGGAATTCTTCACGGAAGCGTGACATGAAAAATGATAGATTTTTTGTCACTGGATCAAGTCCGGTACTGTACACTTTCACTTTTCGTCATCTCTTTTCTTCATGTCAGAAATTCCGATCCCAAGTTTCTCCATACCTCTGCTCAATTTGCAATCCACTAAACAATTCGTTTGACCCTTCCATTCTTGCACTTGCCATTTCAACGATCATTAGTTCGATTCTGGGAACCGCTCGCCGGCAAATACCACAACGACATATAAAATTCCTCCTCGAGGCGCGAGGGGAGGGGCGTGGGAAACTCGCGGCTAGAAAAAGGCTCGAAACGTCACCTCACTAATTTTCAGGCCTAATTCTCAGAGATTAGGCGTCGTTAGCGTGCGTTGAACATTGGTTTTTTAAATGGGGTTGGTTTCGTTGCAGCGGTGGGCAAATATAGATGGTCATATTGGTCTGTCGGGAAAATAATGAGCACTCTGTCGGATTGAAAATCCGGGAAAATGAATTGTGTCGCGGAAAAATCGGCTTTTGACTTCAGCGACGCGGTATTCGATGCGACAGAGAGCTCATTATTTTCCCGACAGACTGATTTCGCATTTTTTCGGTATAAAAAATCCTTATTGCAAAATAAAAATTCGTTTTTTCGAACGCATCCACAGCATTTTATTCTGAAAATTGCAAGGATTTCTGAATTAAAAAAATATATAAATTTTGTGTATAAATGTTCGAAAAAGCGCAGAATGTGCAAAAATCTATGTAAAATGAAGCGAGGCACGGCAACCCAGGGAGTCTCCCGCCTCGTTTCGGCGCTTCGCCCACTTAGTATCGGCTGAATTCAAACGAAATGTCAAAAATGAATTTTTCACGTGGTTTTCCGACCGAAAAATATTTTTCTCGGAATTATTTTATTTCTTTTGTGAATTTTGACACTTCGTTTGGACGAAATTCAAAAGTGGGCGGGAGACATTTTTGTTCTATTTTGGGTTGCCGTGCGAGGCGGTTGGCGAAAAACGATTTTATCAGCCTGTCGGGAAAATAATGAGCATTCTGTCGCATCAAAAATCGCATCGCCGTCGAGAAAATTAAATTACTTTTCACTTCAGCGACGCGATTTTCGATGCGCCAGAGTGGTCATTATTTTCCCGACAGACTGTAATATTATATTTGCTTCAAGTTTCATCAAAATCCGAAAAATATATTTTTTCAAAAAA